AGCAATATCAGTGAGATGTTTATGGGACAAATGCTGGTATGGATGTGCTAGCTGAGATTAAATTGAGTTTGKTACAAGCACAGGGAAAAGCTGCTCCAACTCATGTTGGAAAAGTTTTGCAACTGGCAGCAGTTTAAGGAAGATGAGTATGAAGATTAATTTTTGACGATTCTTTCCAACTCTTACAAAGAAAGTTTTCCAAGAGAAGGGATCAGATAAGAGYAGCACGAACAGAAGGATTTTGTCACATGCCACTGTAACTTAAAGCCATCTTCAAATATAGGATTAGTTTAGAATCACAGGGCAGTGATTCTTCTGCACCAATCAATAAGAGCTCTTTAGGAGCCTCCAAGCATTACAGGTCCATTTCCTCCACCTTTCCTGTTTGAATGGACCCAGCCACCAGCTCCCTCACCTTCTTATTTCTCAAGGAATCTGTGAGTTACCACAATTGTTGCTTTCCAAATAAGCCTAAAGTTCAGGTTAAACAGTTCAAATAGAAAGTGGAAAAACAGTACTTAAAAATCTAGTACTGAAATGGTGTTGTATATATTAGGGAAGTGTTTGTGTCACTGGAGACTAAAGCATGAGCTGCTCTGTTTCCTCTCTCTCTTATACCCATATACAAAGCCTTCTAAAATGCAAACTGTGTTTCTTTCCATGAGCTCAGTTTAACATTTTTTGACCTTTGATTCTCCAAAACTGCCTTTCAGTGCTTGCCCTGGAATTATTCTCATTAACTTTTTCTATTCCCTTGATTGTCCCATTAGCAATTAACCGGTGCCAGAAGACGCAGTTTCTGTTTCATGTTTTAAAAGCATGAAACAGTTCTTGAGGCAGACAATTCTGCAGGAAAAAAGGATAAAAGTATGCCTTTGGCCTTGGCTTTTTTTTTTTGTCCCTTCTTTCTGAAGACCATGCAGGTAAGAAAGGCAGGAAAATGAAGTGGTTACTCACAGAACGTTTGTCTGGGGCGGGATCTCGGGGATGGTTTCCAACATCAGATGCATGCATCTCACTGTAGTCCTGAAGCACAGGCAGCGGCTGGGGCAGGAGCAGGAGAAACCAGGCAGGAGGAGAAAATACAAAAAGCCTCCAAGAGCTGAGGGTTTGATCAGCATGGTGTTTGCTGGAGTGTATTTGCCTCAATTCTGAGCTGCAGGGAGCTGACAAAAAAAGTTTCCCAGCCCTGAGGTCCAGGAGGAGGGGACTCATCAGCATGTGTTTGCAATTAAATTAAGGCAGTTTGACAGTCCAACCGCCCACCCTCTCTCTGCCATTCTGTACATCACTGGAGATCACACTGTCCCCACCCCTCTCTAATTGTGGCGCTGAAATACAAACTCCTCCATTCTGATCTATTCCCGCCTTGTTGCTTCTTTTAAGCAGCAAGTTAACTCCTCACCTTCTCCTCGGGCATCTGTCTGAAAGCGCAGTGCACCTTCTTGGAGAGCAACCAAAAAATGACCCCAGGCTTCCAGGGCTCAGCTGGGATGCAAAAGATCCAGGGCCAAGGTTTTAATGTCAGATTTTTTGCCTTAGACACTCTGCAAACTGAAGAGCGTTATCTAGCAGCCTGTCAAATGCATTGTGCTGTAAGAYTTTTAGGATGGAGGCTGTCTCTTATCACATGTAGTTACAACATCGTGCAAAAATATGCCTCTAACCACTGATGTGGGTGTGGAACGGTACAGATAAGGGATTTTAAAATAGAGATCACTCACAGAGATAAATAACCTGCACATAAAGACAAAACTCCACCCTGGAATCTGCAAAGTTTCTTAGGCAGAGTAAAAGCTGATTCGTTTCAAGGACCTTTGACCAAGTGTAATTTCTCTCCACAAGGATATTGTCTGGAAAAATGTCAGAATTTTTGAAAAATTCAAGGCAACTGAGGTAAACAAACAATGAAACCAACTGTGTTTGAACTGGAGGAAATGCAGTCCTCCATTTGTTTCTCCATACTGAATGATAAAATTTAGATGCGAAAGGCAGGATTTTTTTTTCAGATGAATTAATCACCTTCATAAAGAAGCTGCAGTGAAACCAGGCTATCTTTAGGTTTCAGGTTACTACACAAGATCCTAAATGTGTGGGTTGGGCATGAGGGAGGCATTAGGATATAAAGGGACTTGTGGAATTTCTAACATGGCACCATCCCACATAAGCTGGAAGATCAAATGAAAGCTTCCCACCAACCTGCACATCTACTTTGTACTGCACACTGCAAAATAATTAATGTGACAAAGCAGACAAGAGTGACATTTAAACCTTCCTGGTTCAGAAACTGTCACTATAGCATTTGGGAGAGCATTAGGTTTGGGGTTTCACCTAAAATTTCATGCCATAGTAGGTAAAAGGTGGTTGTTGGGTTTTCTTTTTTTTCCAGATATGAAAGAAAATTATACTGCAAGCTTTCTGCCGTTAATCCYCAGGCAATGTGCTGTTTGCCCTGACATCACTTGGAAATCTAAAGAAATTCACTGAACTCATGGTTTTGRGCAGAGTGTCCTCTAGCGGCCACSCAATCCAACCCAGCCCAACAATGCCTCACAAAAACGGCATGTAAAAATCCAAATTATCATCTTCATACAACTGTCAGCTGAGATCACGCTGATCTGGGTGAATATGACCSTTTTTAATTCCACTTTTGAGGCATTAAGTGCATTGGAATCACGTTCTCTATATGCACGAATCAACACGCATTACGTGAAAATCTTCCTGCTGAAGTTCTCTGCTCTTGCAGCCTGATTGCTCCCCACATCATCTCCTTCCAAAGCTGGACTCTGCAGGGACAGGGCAGCACAGCTGGTAGGAGCTGTTCTGAAAAGCTGGGAAAATAAACAAAAATGCTCTCTTCAAACTATGCGTCAGTAGTTTGGAGCCATCGCTTTCTCTGGCACATCTTTGCAAATACGAGGCTTTTGTTTTCTGCCTCTGCGGTGCATAAACTCTAAACTTTAGAGCCCTAAACCCCCTGCAAAAAAAAAAAAACCCACAAAAAAACCCCTTCCAGGTTTCTTTGTATTTCAAAGAGGATTGGGGCCAGGCCTCAGTCCCATTTCTGTGGAATCAGTCCTGTCTGTGGAATTGCATTTCAAAACCCGGCTGCGGTGTGGGGGAGCAGCTTCGGGAAGGATTGAGGGGTATTTGCCCACTACTTTATAGGAATGGGATCTGGAGCCAAGTCAGCAGATTGAACAGAGCACAGGGAGTCATTTCAGTGCAAAAAGGCAAGTTCTGCAACCCACACTTTGACTGAGAAACAGATATTCACTTGAACTTCACCATGTCTGTCCTGCCTGGCTTATCTCCCCYCATGACAAATGGGATGTGGGTGAGAGTTTTGGAACACCAGCAATCCCAGGCCCCTTACTCTCACATTAATTTATCTTGTTTTCCACCAACATGACAAATTATTAAAAAAAGGAGTGCAGCTCTAAGCAAGAACCAAAACTTATCTCCTGACCACCAGGAATGATGTTAACTCTTGTGTCCCATGCTCCGGCACTTCCAGCCTCTGCTACACAGGCTTTCCACATTGCAGAAAACAAAGTTCGGGGGGGTTCCCTCAAGGGTTTTTTATCCCCCTTTACCCTTTTTTAAACTCTCACTTCTGTCCCTTTTCCTTTAGTAGAAAGATTTCCTTCAGGGGGCCATTCCCTCTCTACACCGCAGGAAACTGTGATGTTGTACATTTTTACAATGAAGTGAACATAAACATCATCTGACAAATTTAATTTCCTCAATGCCGTTTGTATGACACATCCATGGCTTTCCAAAGCAGAAAAGKATTTTCTTTCAGCAAGCATCACATGAAGGAAAACATTAACGTTGAACTRATCTCCTGTTATAGCTGGGAATACGACATTTATCATACACACAGATGACAGGAAGAAACACACAGACAGGCAATTATCCTATGGAATAAAGGTTAACAGACTCATTTAATTAACAGCAGCTGTATTTGCTATTATGATCAGATTCCTACTATAGCTGAAACCAAAATATTTCTCTCAGTACTGGAGAAACAAAAGCCTTCAACAGCAGCTCTTAAAAATCTGCATTAATTAAACACTCAGAGCCCAGGGGACAAGAGGGGAGCTGCACTTCAGAATGCACAGAACAAACCCCTGACACATTTGGTTTAAACAACTCTTGAAGTATAGAAATGGCCTAAACCACCTTTGGGTATCTGTTGTTTACAGGTCTAACTGCCAGGGAAGTGAGTTCACTCTTTAACCCCTCTGACACATTAAATCTAAATCAGTTCTGTGTGTGCTGATCCCAAAAATCATCCTGCATAACTGCATTGCTTCAAGGTTTGGAACTCATCAGCTGGGCAGCTTTAAGATATCACATTCTAAGGAGTTAATCTAAAATTATGCACCTGCACCATGTTATTGTTTTTTTGTTCCAACGCCTTGACCTTTAATTATGGAAATAAGCACTTGCCTACAAAGTGATCTAATCACAACATGATGCAAAGCCATGGTAAGAAGGCTAAAAAGTCTTTACTGAATTTATTGATACAGAAACATTTATTAATAAAGTTTAAATTGCATAACACTTCTGCATGCCTCAGGGCAATTTAACTCTAGTTTCTATACAGAGATTTTTCAGCTTACACACTCATGACTAAAGCAGCTTGAAGATCAGTTCTTTTTGCAAATTCACTGCCAGATCAAAACCTAAAAGGAGTCACATACAAAAAAAAAAGTGACAACTACTTAGAAGACAAAAGGAAACAAAGCAGGTACAATTCCTAAAAAGCTCACAGATCCATACAAACTCAGTTCTGCTCCAATCCCTCTTAGAAATGCCTACAAAACTACAGTGCAAGTGCTTGTGCACAGGGAAAATGTATTTACAATTCCCCTTTATTTACAGGCTATAAGCAATACTATTTCACAGTTATATTATACATAAAAATTCTACTCTGTGTTTAGATCTGTAGGTTTTTTTGGACAAGGGGACAATTTGACAACCCAGAACATAAGTTTCCAGTATATATATATTTATTTATTCAACCTWATCCAGGAAAAAATAGCAGTATTTATGCATCTTATAGAAAGCTACAAAAATCTAGCAAATGTAATAAAAAAGGCAAATCTGGTGAAAAATCTGATAAAATACCTTTTACAACTGGGGCTGGGATGGGGATAAAAATCAAACAAGGGATAAATAAAAGATAATCCTCCTTCAACTGGTCAGCTTTAACAGAATCTCTGCAAGGCTTATCAACAGGAACCTGAAGTTTAACGGAATTTTTGAAGGAACTGCTTTAAAAGTGTTGTGATTAAACTGAAGAATAACCTGGTAGCCAAAAGCAGGAGGCACCCTGTACTATGGAGGGGTGTGGAAATTGTGCCACAATCCAGAAAGGCACATACCTGGCATGACACCTCTTAAGAATTTTCCCACAAATAAGAGGCCACAGCCTGTAGGGAAGCACTGAGAATAAAGACACAGAGATTCCATTAAGCCTCTATTCATCACCATATTCAGGACTTTCATTTGTAGAAAGAAATTCACATGAGTTGCCACAATTACACGATGGGGACATGCACCTTTACAGGAAACCATCAGCTCAGTGGCCACASAACTGCCCCACTGCAAACAAAGAAAACAAAATCCAAGGGAGCAAGAATAACCTGGCATACCATTTAGACTAGAAGTGGAGACAGGAAACMGGAGGCAAAACCCAGCCCATGACTGTGTTATGTGTCAACAGCCACAGGATACAGGAATATCAGACAATATTCTGAAAGATGCACAAAAATCCTGTTAAGCAAGGAAAAGTTCTCCACTTCAGGCTTAGACATGTAAGTTATTCATTTATTTTCAAAGCTACACAGAACTTTGAAACTATTTTCATGAAGCAARTTGTGCAACTCAGGACCATTTGGCAACAGTCTTCACTCATCCCTCCTCAGAAAATTAGGAGACAGCACACATTAAAAAAATCAAAATATATCAAAGTGACACCAACTTAAGTGCTTCTGATGGGGCAATGCCTTAACACGGCTTCACTACCTACTGAGAGAGAGCCTTTCACCACCCCCAGCTTTAGGAGTATTTCACAACACAAACTCCAGGATTTCTTCCCAGCCTTTACCAGTTAAGATAGATTTTTCAAACAGGCTAAAGTAAACCTCTTCTAAACATGGTATTTTATCATCCATAGACATTGTGRACTCCCCATTCCYGGAACTGCTCAAGGCCAGGCTGGATGTGGCTGGGAGCAACCTGGCCTAGTGGAAGGTACCCCTGCCCATGGAAGAGGAGTGGAATGAGATGGTCTTTAAGGTCCCTTCCAACCCAGATCAWGCTGTAATTCTATGATTCCATGGCACTTCCTTCTATCACAATGACAGAAAGACTCAGGAATAAAAATTACAGCTCATATCCAGAGAACCACGGAGTGTCAAGTCCTTCCATATGAGCCTGTTGAAATTTCTACTTCTTTGCTGCAGGAACAAAATCACCTACCAAGCCAAGCAACTGCATTCCACTGTGGAACACTTGTGCACAAGTTGTATTCTGGCCACCTTGCCACAGCAGGGGCACACACAGAAGAACACCTAAGAATTGCACTAATTTGGCTTTCTAGACTGTTTTCAGGTTCTGCAGATCCACCACAAAACTTTATTTGGCTGATTTACTGCTCAGGCTGGTGCTCTGCACCTCACCCTGTTCGGCTGATGATCTGAATTATCTCACACAACAGTAAAAGCCACAGGTTCTGCATTCACATTTTTCACTGCAGCTCTTCTCTACCTTTTTCCCCACATAGAATTACTCTGTAAACATTTCTAGAGGCAAAAGTCCCAACCATGACTACCCTTGCATCCTGCCAAAGCTAAACAGCTTTGCAATTTCTCACTTGCCTCCATTGCTTTAAAAAAAGAAAAACCACAAAACCCCCAACAACTCGTTCATTGAAACAGGCGTTTTCCTTTCAGAAAACCAGCATTTTGTAAAACACTTTTTACTGAAAAATTATATATTGTTTAAAAGCAAAACAGACCAACCAAAGGGGAGCTGATGCTTTCCGTCTCATTCAAAATCTGGATGCCACAAGGGTAATGCCAAATTCTTTCCWTTCTGTAAAAGTTGTGCTTTTTCAGATTACTGGAAGAAACAAGATTTGCCAGGTCAGGTTTTAACTTAATAATCTTCATCCTCCATTAAACACACACCATGGCAAACACATGGCAGRCTTAGTGGGAGAGAGCATGGACAGGAAAGATCTTTGGGGAACTGCTTAGGAGATTTTCAGAACTGATATTCGGTAGAGCAGCCATGAGATTTTTAGAACATCTCCTGCAGTTAGTTTCCAGGGAATTAAATCCTCCTTTCCATAAACAGCTGAACACTTCACCAACTTGCTTCCTAAGGAATCCCTGCTGTAGGATAAAACTATAGCACACRAGTGAGAAGAAAGAAGGAACTCAAAAAAGCTATAATGTCAAAGTKTACAGCAGCCACATTCCCCAGCCAGCCTACTGCCTTGGGTGTCACATTCGCAGGCAAGCAAGTGGGACACGTTTGTCAAGCCCTAAGGAATACTTTATTCTCTGCCTACTTCTCACTTTCTAGAGGGAAAACTACTTTTCCCTGTAATAAAGCAAGTAATACTTCAAGGGATCGGGCAAAGGCAGGCTCAAGACCTTTTCTCTCAAAAAGTTTACGGGAGGGTCTGGCTTTAGTTCAGAAGGTTTGGTCTCCTCCTCCTCTGGCCTCTCGTCGTCGATGTCGTCGCTGTTGTTGTTGTCATCTGAGGGGTTGGAGATGCGGCTGGCRAACACCTCCTTGTCCAGGAACACGATGGTCTCCATGCGCCGGCGCCGCACGCGCCTCCGCTTGAAGCGGGGCGGGTTCTTCAGCCCRTTGCCCGTTTTGCTCATGGCTTCCTGGTGGATGATTTTCTTGATGGTGCCTCGGATGGCRATGCGAGCCAGGTCCTGCAGGCTGCGAACGGCCACGGGGGCTGCAACCAAACGAAACCCGTGAGCAGAGATGGAGAAACTSCCCCGAAAGCACTCCCAGGAAAAGTTCTGTTTGCTCAGATTAAATCAGGCCATTTGAATTCCCTGCTGGGATTACACAAACAGCTCTATTCAGCTCCTGTCAACTCGGATAAACTGCATTGCAACTTTCCAAACAAAATTTAATTGYGCATTTCTCTCATTAAAAAGTTTCCTACTTAGATTTCAAGTTCTCAATTATTTTAAGATACACATCTTAAAGATTGTATGAATGCAGACTTAGTGATAGGAGCTGTGACTGTTTAATGGCTTAGAATAAGGTATTTTCCTGTGGTAGATAACTAAACCTGAAGCCTACTGAACTCTTCCATAAAATAATTTTTCTATTGTACGTTTATGCAGCTTTGCCAAGTTCTGCACTTATAAAACACAAGTGCTATTTATGCTCCTCAACAACTGCTTCAGACTTAGTGGGTGAAGACAGGCTGGAAACCATTTTGTAGAAGTAATTATAGAAACATTACAATAAGTTACTGTATTAAAATACCTCCCACATTAATGGTTTGGAAGATCATTCTGTCTTCTGCACTTATTTGCTGCCAGCCCAGAAATGAAGAAAAAATTWAAAAAAAAYGTATTGATGCACACACATCCATGAACTAAAATGAATTAAAACTGACACAAAAAGTCCCTGTCCACTGCTAACAAGTGAGCTTTCCTGAGACCTGAAYAAAGGAAGCAGAAAATAATTACATGTAATTTATGTGCAGGTCTCACTATGAGGCAAGATCATGCTGAAACATGTAATTATTGGACTTTCTAGCATGCTATGGACTATTTCCTGAACTCCTCTCTGTCCTGCAGACACCTTTCCAGGTTAAGACCGAAGCCTGACTAATCTCTTTATGAAAGTACCTCTGTCTTCATGTGTTCTTAAGAGGCCTCTTGACACTCAGGTCTTAATCTAAAGATTGGGGCCACTGATACAACCTTCATTTCAAACAGCTAACCAAGAACTGCACAACTTGTATCCTTCAAGCATTCCAGGTAAAGGATAAATCTGGATTGCTGGGGGTGAGAGTCTTTGCAGATACACAAGCAGTACCTGTGAACTAATGTATCCCCCCCCCTCCCTGTGGCACAGTGCCTGAGAAYCATGAAAGGATTCAATCATTCAGGATTGAAACAGAATGTGCAAAAACATGGACCAAACATCTGCAAAGTTCACGTACAACTTCACAAAAAATTATTTGTGTTTAAAATGATAGCCCAGTGAAAGCAGTCCCAGTCCACATCAGGACAATTGGAATTAGATGATCTTTAAGGTCCCTTCCAACCCAGTGAGACTGTGAGACTAAAATCTATTTTATGCAACTGCAATTCTTGCACAAGACAGACAACTGTTCAAAAAAAAGGAAGCACTTGGAGTCATTTTCCTTKAAAGGATTCCCAGGGATGTTACAGCTCCTAGCCAAGCAGCAGCAGGAACCTCCCCCATGCTCAGGAATGTCTGTACTCACGCAAGTGAACAAGCCTTGATTTTCCTGAATCTGCGTGGTTTGGCTGAATCAAAGGAGCAAAAGAAACAGCAAGAATCTTCTTCGTCTCAAAGGCAGAAGGACCAGTCCGGGTTATCTTAGTCAACTAAAGCAAAACAAGATTATTGTCCATTGTGGGAACTACAGTGAGATTTTTGAACAAAAAACAAAATGAACAAATTACTTTTCTGCCTGAACAAGTTGAAGTACTTGAAGACACAACATTAAAAAGTGATAAGGAGAAACAATAGCGGTTTTTTTGGAAAAAAAAATTGAGAACTCCTTGCAGGATTAGTTCCAAGTAACTTCATCTGCTGCAGCAGAGCATGGGCACTGGTAATTTGGGTCACTCTGCTAGCCCAGATCCTCTTCCAGTCTGGACCAGAGCGGCTGTGTGTGACCTCTAATAAAACTCACGAGTCACCATGAACCATCACTCCTGAAAAGGTCTGCAGATCAAATCTCCTTCACTAACCCACTGCACAGCCTCTTACTGGGAAGAAACCCTGCACCCTGGTCCTCTCGAGTTCCCTGACAGAGGTAAAAGGTCAGGCACTTAACCTACTTTTTACTAAAAAGAATCCACTGACATCCTGCATGCTTTTTCACAAGCCAATCAGGGTGCAAAATGTTGGGTTTTGTCATTAAGCAAAACACTAAATTATATAATTAAACAAAGCCTTGCTTGCATTTTCTGCAGTGTGAAAGTAAAACTGCAACTAACAACAGATTGAAATATAGGAAACACTGCAGAACTACAAATTTCTTATATATTATTATGAAACTGCAGAGTTTGGTYTCCACTCATAGCAAAAACTGGTGCACTCAATTCTCTCCTCAGCCTGCAACAAGGGCAAGATAAAGGAACAGCTACTGACTAAATCAAGACCAGAATTAAAATCAACTGAAATATGAGTAAAAAGGCACTCAACCTTCTCCTCTAGAGGCATGACAAGAATTCCTCCAACTTTCAAGAGGTTCTTCATGTAGTCCTCATGCTCTTTCTGGACTCCAGCACCACAGTAAACACGGTCATACTGAGTGCAGTCTGGAGAAATCTCTAAGCAATTGCCAGTGACAAAGGATGGCTCACAAAATTCAAATCTGAAAGTGAAAAAGACTTGTATTAAACAAGAATACTCTAATTTATCAAATAAATTATTTTCACAATTCCRGAAAAATCGAACCATGAGAAACACTTGAAAAAAACCCAGTTTAATAGGATTTTTCCATCAAAGACCATCTATTCCAGACATTATTGTAACAGAGCACAGCTAGAAGTCTCAAAATCACAGAACAATGTGGTCAGAATTCATGGACTAAAATCTCGCAAGGATAAGGATGCATAATTTCATACTTGAGCTGCAGGTAACTCTTCAGAACRAGCCACTTTTAGTCATCTGATGCTGACTCAGTTATAATATGCAAATACAAATATTAGACCTGGGCTTCCAAGTGTCAAAGTCTTTTAAGGACTGCACCTGGGTTYATTTTTGCATTTTCAAAAGCTTTCAACTGGTTTTCAAATGTGGGGAATTACCACCTGATGCTACAGAAATAAGCTGTGCTGAAGCCAATGGAAGCTTTGCCATCAGCTTCAAAGAACTGTGATTTCACCCTTCATAAAAAAGGGGTTTTCCCTTCAGCATTTCTGACTCAGTTTAAAGGTACAATGAGCGATTCTCTGACACTTCTGGTTTTCTTACAAGCTCCAACACTTGCTAAGTTTTAAGCCCTACAAATAAAAGCTGATTTTGAYAGAAGCTGTTCAACACATCCATTCTTTTAGTGGTATCTTGAGTGGCAGCTCAATATAGCACCTATTTATTCCTAAACACTTCCTGGAGCTTTCTGGGTTTGCAAAGAGTGCTGGACATTCAGAGCAGCCAGAGAACAGTTCCTGCACAAGCTGTTCCAGGAGCAGACATCACTCAGCAATGCCAATTTTCCAGGCATGTTGATTTCTGAATTCAGCTCGCTTTTGCTATATTTGTCTGGAGAGAGAAAAAAGTCTTCCTTAAAACACCTACTCAAACAATAGCAACGTGACAGAAAAAAACCCTGTTGAGCAYCATCCACACCAGAAACTTTCAGTGTGCTGCCAACATGAGGAAAATACAACCCCCTCCTCAGTAGCTTCCCAGGGCAGCAGGAATAGCAAAAGGCTGAATAGCCTAAAATCTTGTGTGTCATGATTTTAATTTTCTTCCTCCCAGGAGAGGAGGATATAAGGTATTCACAGATGCCTTACTTCACCGTTTGAACAAACTGTGAAATGGATCCAAAAATGTGACAGACACAACTTTTATTGCTGAGGTTACTATTGGCAATGGTTATCTGGCTGGGAAATTATTACTTGTGACAGCAGCAGAATGGAGGGTCTAAGGAAGAACATAAATCAAATCTCAGGCAGTTTTAGTACCAACTTAATCATCATAAAACTACCTTAATATTTTAAAATGCCATTTTTCTTCTTCTCAGATAAAACATATTAGGCCACCACAAAAACCAATTCATACTCTCATCACCATGCAGGCTCTCAGATCACAAGCATAACGAAGTATTGCTATTTGCAAGTTTTAAACTGCTACTGCAAGTGTATTTAAAAATAAACAAACTTCTTCAGCTCCCTCTAAGCCCTGCAACATCAGCACAGCTATTAAAAACACAGCAAACATTTCTGAAACTCCCCCACGACACACACAGGCTTTGAAGGTCACACACTGCAGCTCAGCAAGCCTAAGGAGCCTGAATCCTCAGATTACCCTGAATCCAGAGGAGCCACATGGGAGCAGAAACTGCCCTGAGTAAAGCCAAAAGCACAAAATTAATCCCAACAGGCATTTTGCATTCTTACTTGTCAAAGCTGTCGCTTGTTTTAATGAAAAAGTCCAATTTCTGCTTCGCGTACTCGATCACGTCAGAGTGAAGCTCCACACCGTGGTTCACACCAAAGGGACCTGCAAGCACAGAACACCAGGGAATGGCAACAGGCAACAACACAAAATCCAGCAGGATTAACTCACTTTGGGTTCCTTCCTCCAGCAGATTGTTCCATGAGAGTCAGAGAGTCGGTGTTTGTGTAGGGTCAGCTCTCTCACTGSTACAATGGGAACTGCAACCCTATACCTGCAATTTCTGGCAGCAAATGAGCCTCTTTTGCACAATTGATTCTGAACCATTTGCTCTTAACTAYACAGGAAACTTCTCTATAGGAGGGAAACACTGATGCCACTGCTATTAAAGTGACCACCTGGAAAAGAATTCCAATAGCCCRCATGTTTTAGTACATGTATTTTTATACCCCCTTGCTGATATGCTAAAAATCCCTAAAATTTATCAGGAACAGTCATCATACACTGTATCTCAACTAAAGGCAAAAACAAACTGCTGGAAAATATAGACGTTTTCAGCACTCATGCGTTTTATTCAGAATTGAGAAGGTAACTTTTGGAAGAATAATATAAAAGCCCTGGAGTTACATATTGGTATGTAATGYCAACAAACCTAGGAGAAAATCACAAATGGGAGATGGGAGTGAGACTTTACCCTGAGAATAAACATCCCAGGCAGTTAAAATTCCTGACACCCCATAAAACTGAAGTACCCTATAGCCATTTGCTACCTATCCTGGCAGCACAACTCTGACTGAAACMCTGCAGGGGGAATTTAAATTGTCCAATTACACTTGGATGATTTGCTTTGTGCCACTGCAGATGTGGTCACAAAATCAGTTCTGCTGCACTACAGTGTTCTCCAGAGAATATTCCCATCTGTGTGTTGGGGAGCTAGGAGTCAAAAGTGAATCTCAAACATATCTCAGACTAGACAGGATAGTGTGAACACCAACCAGGCATAGAGCAGGTGCAGTCACAGCTTTTTGTGGACATGTTTAATCCCAGTTTCAACACTGTTCTCCTGATCCTGACCTGGGATTTGCTTAAGGGGAAACAAACCCAGGTTTGTGCCCAGTCCTGCAGGAATCCCCTACAGCCACCTCTTGAACTACATTGATGCCTGTTCWGATCTGCCACAGAGATCTGGATCCCATCCAGTTCCAGAGAGAAGGTTGTGAGGTTACTGATAAGTTGCTGAGCTTGATTAATGCATTCTTTACTTTCCCAGCTACCTTTCAGCTCCATTAGTGGAGGAATGCCTCATCCCCGATTTCAAAACCTGTTTTTAATGCTCTAACACAAACAGTTAACATGACCAAAAAGGTATTTACCCAGAATGAGTCCAACCATGGAACTCAGATAACCAGTGCCACTGCCAAGGTTCAGAAAYGACAGCCCTGGTTGCAGGTCCAAAGCTTCCATCACCTCTGAGTAAATGCACGGTGCTGAGAGATGAATATTTCCATGCTTCCATGCCAAGTCCTTGTAGGCATTGTCTTTGAACTCTTCCAGGTAGTAATCTGCCCGATCAATGGCTCGAAATGCCTGTTCCACCAGCTCTGTCCTGATGTACTGGGCCTCCTTCAGGTTATCGATTAATTCGTCGTTATCTTCTCCCGCACTCACTGCGCCTCCCATCTTCAGCAGCCTCCTAGAAACACTAAAAGTAAAAAAAATAACAAAGCAAGGTGAGGTACAGAACATGCATTCCAGCACTCAATTATGCTGCTGTACATTAAGTACTTTGAGAGAAGCCTTTACTTATTCCAAGGGCCACGAGCTTCAGAAGAACCTCACCCCAGGGCTCCTGTCCCCCATCCTAAAAATGGAAAACAAACTGAAGCAAGCCTAGCATCCAGTACCTGACTCCAGTGGGGAAAAAAAAATCACAATAGGCAATTTCAGCGTGCAAGGCCTGTCTTCAAACCCTCCCACCATTTTACCAGCACATCAGCTTTTCYACTGAATCCTTTTATATAAAGGATTATTCCAGCTCCTGTGCTTATGGGTCATTTTTCACTGCAWGCCCAACCAACAGTGCAAGTTTGGCCTGTCTGTCAGAATTCTTGTCACACACAGACTTTCTACCTCTAACAGCATCAATGGTAACTGAAGAGACTAAGACACAGGCAGCAAATCCAGAAAAATCTCAAATTACATCTCCTTTAAACGTGCAGTGGGATGTTGACTGCACAGGGCTCAAAAATCCCAACAAAACTGTGACCTCTCAACCTTGCTTACTTTGGCAAATGCRTTTTAGCAAATGCACTTTCACACAGCTCATCTGCAGAGCCTGAGCCACCACCATTAGTAAAGCACTTAATGACACAGACAGCAGCTCCAGAGAGAATTCCTATTGCAGCCTACAGGTTTTAAAGGAAAAGGTACAGGGGGAGGATACACAACTTATCAAACAAAATTAACCTGCTTTTTTTCTCCTCTTAAGGAAAAAAAATCCTCTCCAGAAAGCACAACACAATTTTTCAAACGTGTTTATTTACAATGCCTTTCCCTGCTCACAATAATAACCACGAAGCAGCAGCTTTGGAGTTCATTSTTGGGATCAGAAGATCTGCCTACARCGAAATKGTTGGGGTTTGTTTGTTACATTCAGCAAGAGCAAATTAYACACTTTCATTTTCAGAGGAAACAAAGCAAAGCTACAGGACTCCAAGGAAATTTCACAGTTGTTCAAATAACACACCGTTCTGATTACCTGTAGAGGCMCACAAAACAGGATATACTTAGGCAGGGAACCGGAGCCAGTTTTTAATCCATTCGTGTCTCAAACACATCAATCCAATTCGATACTATTAATAAAACTTGAAATAAAATGCCAACCCTCCCCTTTCTACAGTTACTCCTAGATTTTCTCTACAAAAAAATGGCTGTGTTTTATTACTTCACTGTGGGAACACATRAGGCTGAAGGCTCAGGTGGGTTAATCTACCAATTATTTTCTCCCCCCTTTCTCATATACACAAAACCTCATGGCATTTGCAACACAGGGCTGCATCTTGGGTCTTTTATTTAACATTCCACATTAAAATACTCTCTTCACCAAGGGTCTTGGTTCCCTAGATTTTCTTTTATTTCTTTTTGCTCTCAGGCTTCCTTCTTTCTTCCAGTCTTTTCATTATTAAAGAAATAAATCTACATTCTTAGATTTAARGCAAGAATAAGAAGTTGTGCCTTTAAAAGTGCTCCACTTTGGATCCCCAACAAATTCCTGCTGATGTACGCAAGCCCCACTGGGACAACTGGTCTGACCTGGTTTTAGCTCAGCTCCATGGACAACAAGTGCTCTTCCATGTTCTACACCATGGGGAACAACAACAAAAACTGCTGGCTGAAACATTTTCATAATAGGATCAAGGAATATCCACGCTGTGGCAGGTGTCAGTCACTGCTAAAATCATCCCTTTTACTGGACATTAACTTAATTCCATTAAAGTGCATGTTTTACAGGCAGAACTCAGAACTCCTGACATTAAAATTTCATGTAATTGTACATATTTGTTCAACTTTGTGGGATATGGGAATCAAGACTCTTAAGTAGGGCTTATTTTTATTAAGCTTTTCAAAACAAAATCCTCTCCCTCCACAGCAAACCCAAAGTGCATTTTCCTCATTTCTAAGGCAAAACAGAGATTTCCCCAAATATGAGCAGGGGCAAAGTTCACACGCAAAAACTGGGGTGGCTGCCCACAACAAGAGACATCAGAGTGTTGAAACATCCTCTCGTTGCCATCTTCCTCTGCCAGAAAAACAAAYCAGAACACAAACCAACCACCCAGCCCGGCGGGAGGAGCCGCCTCAGACGCCTGAAACAAAACACTGCAACTGGAGCGACTSCTGCCCAGACACACCACGACGGGCCGACGCTCGGGGGAGGGCTCATAACAATACCCAGGGCACAGAAATGCAGCTCCTCACCCCCAGCAAATCACCGGGAAAATCCCTGCTCGGACACAGCAGCGGGAGCAGCACAGGGGAGGTTATTCAGTGATTTAAGAAAAAAGCGGTACCTCAACGGTGCCTCGGCTCCGTTCGGCTAGGTTCGATTCGGTTCGGCTCCGTTCGGCTAGGTTCAATTCGGTTCGTCTCCGTTCGGCAACGTTCGATTCGGTTCGGCTCCGTTCGGCTAGGCTTGTCTTGCTTCAGTTCAGTTCGGTTCGGTTCGGTTGGGCTCGGCTCGGCTCCGTTAGCTTCGGCCCGTTTCGGTTCGGTTCGGTTTCACTCGTCTCCTTTTGGCTTGTCTCGGCGCAGCCCAGGCCGGCGCGCTCGGGCTGTAAACACTGCCCAGCTGAGCGCCGGCCCGCGGCACTGCGCAGGCGCGGAGCGCACCACCGCCGCGGGCAGGGGGGGGAAGGGAGCACACCACTGCTGCCCGGCGGGGGGCGCTGTGTGGGCCGTACCACTCMGAGCCGGCGCGGGGGGCAGGACTGTACCATCTGTCCCATAGCGCGGCTCCTGGAAACATCAGGCTTGGGAAAAAAATCATGAGAACTCGTAAAATAAATTTTTTTAAAAAAATTGCTGCGGGAAGTGGTTGATATTCTTCATTTTGAGCCGATGAACACCTAATTAGTCAGGTGGTTGGATTAGTCTTGATTTTATTTTTGTTCTTCAATGGTAAATGCCAGGTTTGAAGAGATGAAAATTCACCTGATTCCAGGGGCTGGGGATTGAAGGAAACATGGAATATTGTGGACTTCTCAATATCTGACYTGCCATTCATGTCATGAGGGATCCCTGTCCCATAACTGTGTGTTAGGCCAGTAATTTAAATTTTACCCACACATGTGAGCTCCTTCAGTGGCACAGGGAAAAGGCATCTCCTGTCACTGTCTAAGACTGAGAGAAATTATCCTTTAAAAGTGTGTGTTTGTTTTCATGTGTGAGTGGTGCACTCAGCAATGGCTGAGGCTGCAGATTAGATAAAATTGTCTGGACTGGCCTTGCATATAGAACTGCAAAATGAGAAGGAAAAACGACAACAAGACAAGAGGCCTTGTGATTCAAGTTGTCTGGAGATAAATTGTGAAAAATAAAAAGCTGCCTTGGCAGACACAACAAGCCTACAGCAGGAAAAAAAAAAATAAGAATTACCCTGGTAAATGAGACTCAAATAGGAGAAAGTGAATCAGCATCAGAGATTTATTTATGCTTTAAGGTGATTATCTCAGCTCCCTTCATTAACKTGATAACAGCAGACTCTGCAAACAGGCGCAGGGGTAATACTGTAGATGTCTGCACTTTCATTTTGCAGAAGACAGCTGCCTGGGAGAATGGGATTATTCRTGGAGAGCCAGCTCTGAAACTCCTCCTTGCTGATTCAACCGAAAACAGGCCGTGGTGATTGCGCTCTCCTCATCTTTCATACGGAGAACGCTCAGGGATAATGGCAACGCGCTGGAAACTGCAGACGCAGGACACACAAACTCCTTGCACGTGTGGTTCCATTCAGCATCTGCTCCCCTCGCTGCTGGAATCGCTTGAAAAATAGCAGTTGGTTTTTTTTTTCTTTTTTTTGTTCGGTGCAAAAATTGTTAAAATAAAAGCTGGGTAAAGAAAAAAAAATAAATAAAAATTGCAGTTATTGCTAAAGCATCTGTGCTGTCAGTAGAGAGCTCTCTGGGGTAGAGGAGAGCACTGCTTGTGCTTTTTTTCTGGCAGCAGCGAGTTCTCAAGAAGCCCAGAAGGAGCTTGAGTGTTTCAGGGATTACCAAATACCTCCAGAGTGTACTCATGATTCCTTCCAGCCTTAAACTGTGCTGATCAGTGAGACAGATCAGCCTCTGTTTGCTGGATTAACCARGGAGAAACACACAGGGAGGATTTTACCCACTGCACATCCCCACCCCATTGCCTGCACCCCAAATGTGTCAGGAGCCAAACACGGACAGAGAGCAGCTGAAAGGACACCGTCACCCCCAAGGGACAGGCTGTTTTCTGCACTCTAACCCTGCACATCTCTGCTGCTCAAAATTGCTCTGTGGCCCAAATCCCTCGTACCAAACTGTGCCTGGGCCTCATCCCCAGCTTCCCACTGGTTTTCCTCCCCTGGCAGCTTTTTCTTTGAGAATGCCACTGGAATATTGCTGAAAACACCTCTGGGTGTTTTCACCAGCTATGAAGGATACCAAAAATTGCCAGAAAATATTGCAAAAATCCCCACATTTAGGAAAAAACCTGAACCATTTGGTATTTCATGATTCCACAGGTCTCCAGCTGCTGGTTCTTTGTGCTCCTTCTTTCTCTGCTCTTTACAATGACCTTCCTTTACTCCTTACAGCTCCCTGGGGGATTTCTTAGCAGCTGCCCTCGGTTTGGAGAGCCCCAGCATCTCCTGGCAGTGGGAAAAGCAGAGTAGGATTGGGAAAGCAGGATTTAGTGGCATTAAATGCCAGCGTTTCGCTCTCAGCCGTGCACCACAAGRTGTCCCCAGCAGTTCAGGCATTGCYGCGGGGTTCASAGGGGGAATCTCAGCATCTTCTCCTGGGCTGGCACAGGCACGAGTCCCTGCTCTCAGCAACCACARTTTTACCGGGGAGAATCAGTCTCCATCCTTCATTAGCTGCGATAATTGCTGAGGCTGAGCATTTTCACAAGGCCGAGTTGAAGTCAAGGTTTTTCTTGCTTTTCCTTGTTTTTATTTCCCCGTGTTTTGCAGCTTCTTCCTTCTTTTTTTTTTTTTTTTTAATTTCTTTTTAATAAATGTTTCTGAAACAATAGTCAGCTTGAGTTAACGTCTGAGTTCGTAGCAGTGATGAGTTAAAATGTTTTTATTTGTTTGGAAGATCAAACAGTAAAAATGCATTTTAGCCCCCAAGGCAGGGCCCAGCAGACTGAGCTGACCTAYAGCCTGGCAATACAGATGGTTGCTTAAGTCAACGGGGTAATTAGTGAGTGACAGGAGGACTCACATAAATTAAGAGCTGGGGGAGCATTAAATCACAAGGGTTTATTTTCACTGTTTTTCGTTTTTTGGTTTTTTTTTTTCATTTTGTAAAATATGCTTTGTTGCCTTTTCTGTGGTCAGTTTGGCTCTGTACCACTTTCAAATGCAAATATTCTATATATGCATATGCACACATGTGCATATATGCAAATACATGCAGACATATGCATTTACACTGGAATGAATATTAACACACTGACAGCGAATCACTTGGGATACTCCTGCCCATGCAAAGAAAAAAAATATATAGAAATATATATGTATATATATAAGTATAGATATATACATATATTTGTGTCTCTGTGTGTGTGTGTGTGTGTTTCTGTGTGTGTCCTCTTGCTTCACTTCATCTCAGGGCTCTGTGAATAACTGCTGAAGCAAGAGGAAGAACATATGTCTTGATTTCCACTGGATTGCACCGTGCATAACCAGTGCCACATGGAAAAAGGACTCSTGAAGGCCTGGATTCATCTCACTTMAGYGTGTCATGGGAGGAAGGCAGCCAGGAGATGGGGGAAGGTGTCACCACAGAGCCCTGGCAGTGGGGATGTGGAGCAGAGAGGTGTTTCACCTTTCCTTGGTGCTGCCAGGAGCACCAGTGAGCCCAGCTCTGTGTCCTGTCCCTCTGCTGCCTCGTTGTGCCCCATCTGCCATGGTTTATGCAGAGACTGCCAAATAAAAATCTCAGAAATCAAGATTTTCGTATTGACGGAGGAAGAAAACCATCCCCCGGATCTTTCAAGTGATTAATGGATTAAATAAAATCGGTGGATTTTTATGGATTTATAAATAATAAAAATGGAATCAGATGGTGGCAGCCATATCACACTTTCCTGCTGTGCCTGCAGCATGTCCTACCTGCAGACTCACCTGTCAGTCTGAGCCAGCCACATTTGTTCCCTCAAAGACCTTGAGGGTTCATCCATCTTTCTTGGGAGGCCTTTCCAAAACCTCTCTCCTCCAGCAAAAGGAAAACATCTTCAGATTTCCAATAGAAATTTATTCCTGGCCAAGATGTGCCTTATTTGATCTCCCACCCGTATTATCCTCTAAGATAAATCATTCCCCTTCTTCCCACCCTGAATGTATTTATGAAAAGTAATCATATCCCCTCTTAACCTTTGTTTTTCTAGGCTAAACAAGCCAAGCTCTTTTAATCTCATCTCCTAAGATAGGCTCTCAGTTCTGCTAATCACTCTGCCAGTCCTTCTCCGCACCTGTTCAAGGATAAATTAATCTTTCCTTTTTCCAAAGAGAGKTCCCAGAACTGCACACAATATCCCACACAAAGTCGTACCAATACTGATATTTCTCTACATCTACCAAATAAATGGTTTAATGCATGAGACTTTCTGCAGAGCAAATGGAAAATAGATGCAAAGCCATAAATTAATAATCATACCACAACCTTAACCATAACAGAACCTCACTCAAGGAGATCACTGTGTTACTTGGACTTGCATTTTGCTCCTTTTCTGTTGTGGGTACAGGTCCTTGACAGATCTTAATCTGTGGTTTTCCATATTTAATTTACCCTTTATGAGMATCAGGACCTTTTATTACAGGAGGCACTGAGGAAAGTCTTGTCTGTGTTTCCCTCAGCCTCTGCTGTGGCAAAAYTCTCCTTGAAATCACGGCTGAGGGTTTGAACTGTGAAGATGCAAAGTCAAATGATGAAAAACATTTTGCATTCATCTCTTCTCTTTTCAAAATGATTTTCCAGTTTTACTTGGGGTTTAATTAAATTTCTGTGACCCAGGCAGGGAGTTCAGCCTTTCTTGATTAATGCTCTTTTAGGTGGCTCTGCTGATAAGAATTTAGCATCAACAATTGAGCTAACAAGCCCCAGTGAACAGTTTGTAGCAGGAGACTAATTCTATTAACACTTTGCAGTGTCAGGACTCCACTTTGAGCTCACAGCTGAGAGGAGAGATGGGGAAGAGGGAGCAAATGTAAAATTTGGCAACTAAATCACCAAGATTCAGCTTCTTTGTGGGCAGAGCTCATCTGGAAACTATTTTAGCTGACAAAATCAGAATTTCACCTGTTCTTTTTTTTTTCCCTCCTGACTGATGTTCTGCACTTTTTTGGCTCATTGTGATAAGGGTTGGGAATAAGGAATGGAGCGGAATGGCAGMATTGATAAGAGAAATGAAAGGGGAATGTGATGACATGATAGGGGAGTAGAGCCTCTGCAGTTAGCCCTGCCTGTGCTGGATGTGTACTGGAGTACAGGATGGTCAGGACAAAGATGCTTGTGCTGACAGTTCCAAATTAGTCTGCTGTGACAGAAAAATTGAGGTGAATGCTCTGCAGAAACATTTGTTACTTTTTGGATGACAGTAGAAATATCTCGCGGGTCTGTAGAGATCCACAAGAA